GACGATTTGATCTGTTTAACATGGACTGATCAATGTTACTATTGTCAATAAATGTTATATTGTGCTTTTTGCATAATTCATGCACTAGATTGTTAAATTCTGTTATTTTAGAATGAGGAACCTTATTGTCATACCTCTTTATGACGCTTGAGACTGCGACATTCTCAGCTTTAGATTTAGGTTCAACAACAAGATCCTACATCTGCTTAGCTGCCTCCTTTGCATCATCAGATACCAGGTTGTTGGTACCCACATGAAGAATGATACTGCGTAATCTTCTTTCACCACAGTCCTTTCGTAGATTTGTGTGAATATCCTTTATCTTGCCACCTCGGTACGTCTTGCAAACAGTTTTTGCTTTTGCAGCATATGAAAGTTTATCATTGTTTATGTTTTTGGTCATCGAGTCTCCAATTAACAAGGTATCTTGTTGATCTTGACTTCTCTGTGCTGATGTGCTGATGTTTTGATCTTTTTTGCCTTCATCTTGCTTGGTCCTAGTGTTCTGGTTTGGATGAGTATCTGGCTGTGTTCCAGTGTTTATCGTCATATTGTTAATAGATTCTGGGCTATCTTGAATTGAGATATCATTTGACGATTCGTTTGATAAGGTTTCATCCTCAAGGATTTCAAAGCTATTTGAAACAGCAGCTGCATAGTTTAGTTTCGATGCTGAAGATGTTGGTTTGATCACGTTCGATTTTTTTTGCTTTTCAATTTCAATCCAATCATTTTGCTTCATATCCAAAACATTTTTCAGTCGATCATTGTCAACAGAAATCTGCTCAATGACACATTTAAGTTCGTCGATCTCGTCCGCCATTTTGTTGTTTGTTCTAGATAACTCGGTTATGGCTTTTTTCGATTCGTTTAAGTGCTTCTCGGTTTGACATTCGCTTTCATTTTGCCTGTTTGCCAATCGAACGATAACGTTGTTCATCTCGATAATTTTTTCTTTTAAACTCGCAATTTCCGCATCTCTAGAATCACACGTATTGCATGTTTCATTTGGCTTCGAGGTTGTTGTTGTTGTGTCCACGTGGTTATCAGTGTTTGAAGAATTTACGGCCAATTTCTTTACTATTAAATCTGATAAGGCATCAACGACCGAGGAATTATCATCTTTAACAACTGATAGCTTTTTTGAGCTTGGTCCATGCCACTTTATGGTGACACTTTCGTTGGTAAATTGCTTAGTATCTCCACCCGGCGATGTCCATTTACCACTGAGAAGCAACGCTTCGTCGACAAACCGTTTAAGTTGGATATTACTTCCACTCCAGAGAAAATTCTTCTCGCTTTTACTCAACATTTGGCTTAGCTTCATTATATTTTGGTTTTCGGCTTGTAATTGTTTAGAATTACTTATATTATCAATCTCAACAACGGAGCTCGAAGAATGCTTACGTTCCGCCATCTTGGGTTAGGTTAGGGTTGACTATTCGTACTATTCGTCGACTATACGCGGACTATTCGCACTATTCGTCGACTATTCGCGGACTATTCGCACTATTCGCGGACTATTTGCACTATTCGTCGACTATTCGCACTATTCGCTTCACTATTCTAGTTTTATCAATTGCCGTCCCAACTGCCCAACATAAAATAAATTCCTGGATTCTCATCACCGCCCGACTGAATTTTAAAATCCTCGTGAAAATGTTTTATATTTTGTTATACAATATAAATGTACCGCCCGACAAAATAATTCAATACAGTTAATTTTTTAATATTTTATATAGGGTTTTTATTGCCATTTTAAATTTCCAATTTGAAACAAACAGAATTTTGAATGAAATTTCATTGTATTTTAAAGAAATTCAGTCATTCTGTCAGTGTTCGTGGAGATACGAACTATTGATATATAAATTATATAAATATAAAATATAAAAAATAAATCTCCCACTGTCTTTGACATTTCAAAGTGTAGACTGTGTCTAGTGATGAGAATCAAGGAATTTATTTTATTTGTTAATATAAACCAAGCCCGTTTAGCTGCCTTAAAACGGTGGTTTAATAAGCTCAAAATACAAAGCATGCAAGTCTATACTATAGATTCATCATCAGTCAACAACCAAACTGAAAGTTTTGAACCTTATAGAACGATAGTTTTTATTTCTTTACAACTATACATATTCAACGGGTATATAAGAGTTTAACTGTTATTTGATAATTACTGCATCAACCGGCCCCTAGTTCATACTTTGGAGGTACGTATATCTATCAAGTATCTTTGGTTCAGAACATGACGGGCCTATATGAAAATCCCACCGTTCGATTCAGTGAAGAAATATCTCCTAATTTCTATCGATAGTTTTAGTAAAATGTCAACATTATTGCGATTTATGGTCTTTGAAAGTCAAGCGAGATCGTATATTATCAAATTAATACGCATGTAATTGTCTGAACGAAAATATAGACTAGCCCATACCTTTCGCTGATCATAACTTCAGCCCCTTTGGACGTATCTTCTTTGTTAAATATTCTTGTACGAATCGCTATCAAAAACACTACTTAGAGTGTTATTTTTCAGCTTGTATCTTTAAATTTGCTTCTTTTATTATGGTATTGCATTTCTGGTCTGACTTGACGTGAACTAATTTCAAAACGTCAAAACATTTGGTTAATGATTAACATTTAACCGAATTTAGCCGTTGATTGACAACTACATAAAAATACTAACCAATCCGTTTTTTCCGTTCACCAGCGGACGGGTAATTCAAAAACCCCTAGTTTTGCGGCAGACGGTATTTCCTTTGCTTCCCTAATTTTCGCTGCCCGTAGAAATACCGCCGGCCATTCAGGCTACATCATATGAACATCTCATCGTCATCGCTCACTAGAGTGGTCGATCCATTTCGATGTGGTGCACCGCATGATGAGATAATGAGAACACCAGTCATAATAACTTCGCGCCATCCTAACCCAAACTGTCCTACTTCCTTTTCTACCCGGTCACACAATAAAATACAATGTAATTAATATTATTGCTAATTCATCAGGAGTTTGTTCCAAGCATTACACTAACCAATACTATGACAATGGGTATGTTGCTGATTGCCAGTCCGCGCGCGGTTTATTGCATTTTTGCAATGCATTGTGGTATCGCTGGGGGGCAAACAATTTGAAAAACAACTATAAATATATGCATATTTCTTTGTTTTTAAAAAAAGTGTTTAAATATTTATGATATGGCTTTAATTCCTATTGGTAGAAGAGAAGTTAGAGTTCGAGGTGATGGCCACTGCTTCTACAGAACTGTAGCACGAGCTTTAAACGGTAAAACGGATCGAAATTATTCGAAAGTGAGATCGCTTTGCAACGCCGTGATAGAAGACTTCCCCCAAGTTTTTATTCCTTTGCTTTTTACTCATACAACAGTAGAGGAACATCTTAAACATAGTCGTAAGGATGGTACATGGGCCGAAACGGCCTATCAGTCTTATCAAGGGCCTCATTATTTGTGAAAAATAACTTTCTTAGTAATGAAAATATCATGCAACAATCTTTAGAATTTGTTGACCAACTGTCCACTACAACATCTGAAAGAGATGTTATCAACAATATTACAACTGCCCAACACACCACTTAATGCTGGCATGAATTTCGGCACTTGTTGGTTACTGGCAAAAAAATGAAAGGACTTTTTACAAGACAAAAGACAGTAGAAAAAAATCCTAATGGAGATGTGAGTAAAACTGTTAAAAAAATTTTAACTCCTTCAAGACCAATTGAAAATAAAAAATGTCCAGTGGCTATTAAGTATGGCACAGAGATGGAGGATGAAGCAAAAACATCCTATTTTAGGATTATGAAAAAACAACACATTAAGTTTGAATTCAGTGAAACTGGCTTGGTTCTAAGCCCTGATCATGGATGGGTAGGAGCAAGTCCAGATGGAATAAGAGAGTGCCATTTTTGTGAAGATACACTTGTTGAATTTAAGTGTCCTTACACAGGTAGAGATATGGATCCTAAATCTGCATTTTTGTTGGATACTGTTGGTGGGGCAATTAATGAAGCCGGTTTTCCATATATTCGCAAGAACCACATTCACTACTTCCAAGTGCAGACTAGAATGGCAGTGTGTGGCCTGAAGCAGTGTGACTTTGTTGTTTTTACCAACATGGGAATCTATATAGCAAAAGTAGAATTTGATGAGGAATTTTGGAAAAGTACAATCGGTACTGTTAAATTGTTTTACACTAAAAAAATAATTTCAGCTCTTTTATTGCAAATTCAAGGGAGCAATGATCTAGATTTACCAAATAGCATGTAAATTGAAAGTTATATTTGATTGTTAATCTAAATATTTTTTCATTTTCCTGAAATGTGTGTGGTTATAAATAAAAAATAGCAATAGTATAATAGCACTAAGCTGATCTGTTTGTGACAAACAAACTATCAAAGACTTCAAAGAGTGGTTATATGGTAATAATTAATATTACTTGATTAACATTTAAAGTCTCTGCCATAAAATAGAGTTAAATATTGTATAAACACAGCCAGTTTTGCTTTAAATATTATTCAAATTATATGAAATATCCCATAAATTACTTCAAGTGAATTCAACATTGTTACTGTTATAATTCTGTAGTTTACTTGATTAGCTACTTTTGAAGGTTGGATAATGCTGCACGAACCAGGATAATACGATCCAACATCATCTTTAGCAGTAATGGGATTACTCCAGACAAAATTCGGAAATGTTTCAGCCTTAAAATGGAGGAAAGCCGAGGTCCTCTGCAATAGGCTGGAGAAATAAGTTGAATTTTCTTAAATGCTAGCAAATCCCGGATCAGAAAGCCTTTGTCGGCCATTACAGCATTGCACTCTTTTAAAAAATTAATCAGTCCTGAATTTCTGACAATTTCTTTGTCAGAAGTACTCCCAGTCCAAAGTGGTGGGGGGAGAAAGGAAATGACGCCAGTAGGTGTTATGCCTACAAGTAACTTAACTTTGTTGTAGTGCTTGTAGCTACTCCATGTAGTTTTTTGACTTTAAGGAACCAATGGCTTTTGAATGTAAAATTCACAACAATCAATGATCACCCGAATGTTAGGAATTCTTTGGAACTGTTCTGGTAATACACTTTTTATCTCACCTCGACTTGGCCTGGGAACAAGGAATGATAACTCTTCTGATAGGAAGATAATCCAGGTATTATAAATACGAGACACCTGGATCACACTGATTCCAAACGTGTCAGCAAGAAAGTGAACATCAAAACCCTTTCGTGTTCTTACTAATGTAAGAACAAACTCCACCCAGCATGACAAGAGTCTGGTTTGGGCCCGTCTCTTTTCCCTTCTTGAACCTGGTGTATCAACAGATCCTTTCCAATAGCGTAAAGACTTTGTCTTTCCCTTTATCAAATCAAACACTAAGTCCAGATTTTCTCTAGTGACCCCTGTGTATCTAAAACAGTTCCTATTAGATGTAGCCTGCTTGACGAACAGTTCTCTTCGAGATTTCTTTCCATTCTCCTCAGATACATCTATTTCAACTGATGTGTCATAATCATTTGATATTTCATCTGAACCATTAAAAAACAGTGATGAAAAACTACTGCTCGACTCGCTAAAATCGTCTTCTGGTTCTTTCTTCACGTTATTATGGATATGACTGCAATAAATTTCCTTAGATAGGGTTGATACTGACTGTGATTTAGCATGCGATACATCAAATTCTGAATAGTCTGAATAGGAATCTGACAAGCAAATGTTACTTCGACGTTGTCTTTTAGGTTTAGGAGCCAAACTTTCCGGGTTTGGACGGGTTTTCTTCTGTTTATCAGGACAATAACCTTTTAGATAAAGCTTTGGATCGGGGCATTCCTCGGATCGGTAACCTGCTTGAAAGTGGTTCGAACAAACCTTCGTATTTGACGTGACTTTGAAGTGCTTACGATTGAGCAATTTTCTCCATTTTACGATATCTTTCTGAGTTTTTGGTAAGTAAAATCTAAGAATACCAACATGTGGTTTGATCATTTGTTTTTCCGGGTATCTGCGATCGTTTGAACAGCCATGAACTGCACAATAATCACCTTTTGCCATACTTTCGTTGTAAAGCTAATACATTGTTTGCCCCTCACCGATACCACAATGCATTGCAAAAATGCGAAAAACCGCGCGCGGACTGGCAACCAGCAACATACCCATTGTCCCGAAAATTGATGAAGTGATCCCTTTTGTCGAGGACAACAACACTGATCTCGTTTTTATTACTGAAACGTGGCTCACTGATTTAATTAATATTAATTGCCTTCAGATACCAAGTTATAATCTAATATGTAAAAATAGGTACGCTAGGCGTACATATATCTGCGCAAAGGAATTGCATCGATGCTATGAGAAAAATTCCATGCACAATTATTGAGTAAACATTTATATATTTTTGAAGTGACTACCGGCTATTTAGTAAACTGCTGGCTATACAGCCGGCTATGAAGTAAAATGCTGGCTATATAGTGGTTTCCTTCGCAACCGCTCTTTATGTCGAGGTTTTCTCCCCAGAAGCAGTTGCTCACCCGAGCACAACGTTCCATTCCCTTTGTCTTACGTTAGCCAATCAGATTTAGCGACATAAATATCTAAATAAATTTAGCAACATAAATATCTTATCAAGTCCAAGGGAATAACTGCTAACCGTGACCTTTTGAAAGTTAGAAAAGGTGGGAAAAAAAGTTTAAAAAATTATTTAAGAAGAAAATATGCTAAGTCAGACAAAACACAACCCGACCCGGACTGTTTCACTTTCCGCACCCAACGCTTTTACCGTATGCGCTAACGGCAAACTCGGTAAAAGCTTGTGCAAAGAAAAGTTTTCATGTTTAACTATAGTGACTATATAGCCGACAATTTACTATATACCCGGCTGTATTGTCACTTTGTTTATATTTGATGATATGATAAAGAATGTTCAGATTGCAGTCTCTTCTCTACCACAATCAACTGTCAGAAAGCCACCATTTTTATAATAAAAACAGACAGAATAAGAGTTACAAAATCGGCATTTATTAATGTATTATGTATAATGATGTATTCATGTATGCTCTATAAAATGAAAAAATACACACAATCTGTAAATAAATTTTATTAACTTTAACTCAACTTATGAGGCAATCCTATAATTAGGAGATGTCCTGTGACTAATGCTCTATATTTCGTCCTGTATAAAAAAAATTTAACGTAACATAATAATTCTGAAATCTAAATGATGTGACTATAAATGTACCATATATTAAATAAAATAATTATGAATATATGAATAAACTATCGATATTATTAGAAAAGCATGCACGGTCACTCACGAAAAAGCTTTGCGATGTTACTTTGGGCTAGGATATAACAAAAAGTTTTTTATCGGACAATTTAGCAGTCAGCGAAAGTCAAACAAACAATTTCTCGTCACACTTGTAGAAAGCCGCCATCTTTGTTTTACGGCCTGTTCGCAGGCGTACAGCCCTAATTAGTCGACTTGAGAGTTTAACGCACGCACCCACCCACAACTCGATAGCATGGTATCTAGCACTACGCGCAGATACAAAAATCGTTCATCTGAAGCACACGGAGGGGTATGTCTCTATATCAACAACTCTATTGAGTTTAATGTGCTGGAAGACCTACATGATCCCGATTTTGAAGTTCTTTAGGTCCGCATAACATCCCACGGGGTTTTTCAAGCATTATCATTGGCAAGGTATATCATCCTCCGAGTGCCGATGCCGAATCCATGTGGGAGTATCTACTCAAATCTCTCACAGAAATTGAAGGTCAATATCCAAATTGCGGGCTACAGCTAGCTGGTGACTTTAACCGTCTTGACATAAAGTCCCTCTTAATTAAGGCAATTCAAAATGAAAAGTTCACCTTCCCACAAGAAAGGACCAAACTCTATTAGATTTAATTTAATTGACTCCCTGTCAATTCACCCTCCTTTCGGACTTTCTGATCACAATGTTGTTACTTACCTTATACCCAAAAGTAAGACCTGCCCAAACCCAAAAAGTAGTTCAGAAAAGAGACACTCGCCGGAAAAGCGAATTGGGGAGATACGATAAATTGGTCCCTAATTGAATCTGCATATTTCGTGAGGGACTGTAGGAAAGCAAATCTCCCAAGCAACAGAGGGCTAACAACCTATTGCACAAAGATAAGACCTATACTGGAATACGCGGCACCAATCTGGGCTGGTTTACCATATTACCTAAAGGAGGATATCGAAAGAGTACAAAATCGCTGTCTAGATTGTGTCCAGAAGAAACTATTTAACAAGTAAAGAATATGATAATATACTAAATTCAGAAAATCACCCATGTAAAAGATTGATTCGTAGAACTAACGCACATGAATATAATTTAAGGACAGGCTGTAACCCACTTTTGGCACCAATTTCATTTACAGATAGACATAAACAATCATTCATACCGAGAGCTGCTTGGTTGAACTATTTTAGTGAATATAGTTAAGGCCAAAAAATGTATGTGGGTTTCTTATTTCTTCTTGTAAAACCTTAGGTAGAGTAGGTTGGTTTTAATTTTTTTTTTAATTTTCCTAACAACCGGACGCCATTTTGTTTAGTCCGTGCTTCCACATTCAAAGATAAATTTCCCTAATATTGCCTCAAATTTCCATTTTTCGCAAACGTTTTCCTCTAAGTGGAAACACTTACAAGCATGATCCAATAAAAAAGTTTAGGGTCGGGAAACCGGAAGCCCACATATTTTTTTTGGCCTAACTGAAATAGTCTTACTTGTATATATAGATAATCGCTCTCTCTCTCATTCCTGTAAAATGTACATTATAGAATATAGGCGATAAAGTTTTATGTATCTTAAATGTTGTTGTAAATTTTTAATACTTTTTAAATTTGTAATACCACTGTAATTCTTTTGCCAAAGGTGGTAAATAAAATCTATTATTATTAGAACAACGTTCCCTTAGACCGAGCGCTAAAAGGCTCAGAAGTAAATTCTTTGAAAATTAGTCACCTAAAAGAGACAGCTCCATCTCTTCGGTGGAAGGAGGTTAAACGGATTTCTGGCATGGCTCGTCGGCATATACTAAAAATCTAATAACACAGCTCCATTTGGAGAACGTTGAAGTCGATATCCAGGGTGTCGATCTTGCTAATTGAATTAACAACGCATTCTTAGAACCTACCCTGAAATAGATCCCGACCACCCGACATCACATAGTGCATTCGAGTTAGCAACTGAAATGGCAGTTTATAACATCCTTTCCAAACTGAATCAAATTGGCTACTAAAGACCTATGCGGAAATTCTTGCTCGACCTATTTTCTATTCCCAACAGTTTTCTTCTCCGACAGAAACTTCCATCTGTTTGGAAACATGCCGATGTCATACCGGTTCCTAAACAGAAAACGACTACCATTATTAACTAGAAAATACATGCATGCAGAAACCCCTCGCCTTGCTGACAAGACCATTCTATTTTCCGAACATAAAGTATTTAAAGTAGTTGTCATGGTAACACGATATAAATTTTGTTAAGAATATTTTTTCAAATGAAAAATCCCCTAAAAATATAACTTTTAATTACAAAATTTTCAATTTCCCAAACATATATATGTTAAGTATGTTATTATACGTAATATAAGTTTCAATTTACGGTAAAATTGGCCGTTTTTATAGTAGGGAAGCATTATGCATCTGGACGCATAATCCGTTGTCTGTATTATTCGTCTAGTATAAAGACGGGACGAATAATCCGACGAACTATCAGCATTTATTTTTCGTCTGGTTATGCGTCCTCAGTATAAAGACGGGCACAAGAATCATTATGCGTCTAGACGAATTATCACTGATTGTGCGTCTCTTAAGACGAAGAATCGAACATAGTTCGTCTAGACGCATAATATGTCTTGTATTCAAACAACGTTGCTTTCTTTTTTAATATAATAAAAAAGGTTAATCAATAAAGAAACACTGAAATTACATGCTGCCGGGGTTTTTTCATTTAAAATATACGCAACGATCAGCTTCAAAGACGTTATAAAGCAAACAATACATCAATATTTAAAACAAACTACCTACATTCGTTAACGTCGGTGCCTTTACTCCCTTCTTTTAGTAATTCTTTCGCCTTTATTTTCATAAGAAGCTTGTGAAATTCACAAAATCTTGCAAAATTGCAATATATTTGCAAGAAATCATCATGTGGCAGTTCACCTCGTATCTAAGTCATAGAATACAAGTATGCAAAGTTGGGGTATCAATTTCAAAAAGCGAAAAAATCACAAGAGGTGTGCCATAGGGATTAAATCTTGGTCCTCTTCTGTTTTTGCTCTACATTAACGATTTGCCAAATTGTCTTGATTCCTCAGTCCCAGCACTTTTTGCACATGTGAGATACAGGAAAAGTTAGAAAAGGATTTAAGTAATATTCACATGTGGCTATTAGACAATACGTTAACCCCAGATGTTAATAAAACTGAATATATGTTAATTGGATCAAGACAAAAGCAGTCCCAAATAAATACTGAACCAATTCTATCATTAGGATCTGAAAGCATCAAACGTGTTTCATCTACCAAAATTCTTGGCGTTACAGTAGATGAATGTATCACTTGGAAAGACCACATTTATAAGGTAGCAAAAAAAGACTCGAAAGGGATGGGAATACTGAGACGATCTAAAGACTTACTTGACAAAGATACTCTTAAAACTATTTATAGCGCTTTTGTTTTACCGCATTTTGACTATTGTGCGTTGGTATGGGATAATTGTTCCAAAACCTTGCAAATCAAACTACAAAAGCTACGAAATAAAGCAGGTAGGATAATCACAGGTGATTGCTACAAAACACCCTCTGATGCTGTCAGAACCAAACTCGGTTGGGACACCTTACAGGAAAGGAGAGAGAAACAATTAGAAACTTTAATGATACAAATAATGAAAGGAAATTCAATTATTATCTCCAGAAGTTTTTTACTATCTCTTCTAGTCAAACGTATCAATTAAGAAGTAACAGCCACGTTCTCTACTTGCCTAAACCCAACACCAACGCTCTAAAGCATAGCTTTAGTTACAAAGGTGTTGCACCTTGGAACGATATTGAAATTCCTAGAAAGAATTGAAATGTATAAATTTTATATAGATTACTTTTTTAACATTTTTAACATTATACCTTTAAATTGTGTACATATTTCCTATTTTAGTCCTATTTTAAATACACGCCCTGAAAATCGACCTTTTATTTTATCAAAAAATTTGTTATAACTTTTAGATACTTTCAGGGTTATGGTTGAGAGGTTACCGTGTTTAAATATTTGTAAATAATAATAATAGTAATAATAGCAATAATAATAGTAATAATAATAATAATAATAATAATAATTTTTTTTAAACCTTTACAAATCAATTACATAGCCTGACCCATATATAGTCATACATTTATGAGTCCAGACCAAATTTTACCTAACTACACTTAATAAATAAGACAACAGTTCTCTGAATAAAGCAGGTCCGTTATCAACACTGTCACACATTAGTAGCTAATAGAAGTTGAGCTTTTCAGGGCAAGACCAGTTCTTATTTCTCTTACAAAATATGTAGAAAGTGGCACGAAGTGCAACCTCCATACATTTTGTTATGATACGATCGTCTTGCAAATGTAACAACCTACATAGCCTACGAAATTGGCCTATACTCTTCGTGACGAAGCCTAGAGTAGTGACTTCCAAAGTTATAACTTTAAATCTATCACACGGTACGAGTAACTGTGATCGCAATACCCGATATTTTTCTTGTTTACGTCGTCTTGCAATCATGCAGTTCGTTTCATATGGGACAGTCAATTCAATCACATACAAATCTCTTTTATAACGAATCGTAATATCTGGCCTTAACGCTTGAAACAGATTGGACGTACATTTCAAGCCAGAGTCTGGACAATCGGCAAAAATCTTCAGGTCTTCCGACATCACTCTCCTTAAGGTTACAGGATACCCTAGAACGTAAGAATTTTGATTTTTTTTTTCTTTACATGTTCTTGTTGCTTTTGAGCATACCTGTCGTCTGGAAAAAAATGTAAATCAGTATCTTTAAAATTAAACAGGTTATTTAGTAAAACGCGATTGAAGTCTATATGTTTGGCGGGAAATGTGTTTGACAGAAAATCGACACCTTGTGCAATTCAATTAGTGTATATGTCATCTCGTATTCCGTTATCAGAACATGCGGTTGTAGACGCACATTTCTCTTGCACTGAAATCTTTGCTGAAAAAATGCCGCGAATAAAAGCTGATTCTGGCAAAAGCAATAAAACCCCTTTTTGCGGCCGTCGGAAGAAACTCAAACCCAAGACCGACAATTTGTTCACAGAGGAGAGAAAGAAATCACTGGCAGAAAGTGACCCTGAAACCATTCTGTAGAGATGAATCAATAACCATAAAGGCCATAATTTAGAACAGTTTGCCCAATATTTACTAGCATAATTATAGAATATAATATGTAAGTATATTTACATGAGTATGTTTATCATAATATAACAATGCCTTTTAAAACATATATTTTTAAACTTAATTATTATAGTCATATTTGACTAACACTATAATAGTCTACACACAACATCGGGATCTTCAAAGCTTCACAAAAGATGTCCAGCTCAATATTGTAAGCATCCTAGAAGCAGAATAAAAACATTGATTTGGCGACTTATCATTTTTGCCATATTTACTAATTTAGCCACAAGTGCATGACTAACCGGAAAACTGGAAAAGCTTTATTAGAATTAGCCCTTTCGTTCCCTGCGTGGCTTTTATAGTGACCTTTGACTTTGCGTACAGAATATCAAACTCACTTCTCTTATCTCTCCTTTTACATCACCGCAATATCGCTCAGGAAATTTAGTACTTCGACAGGATATCCATAAGCCGCATCCTTGGGACCGATTCCCTGTTTCTATAAATGAACGAAAATGTAATGACATTTTACAATAAGACCTTTTATTTCCAAAACATTACGATGCGCGGCGTACTAAAAACGCAAATTGTGCAAAAATCCAGAGAACCAGGTGCAATTATGTATATAACGCGTGTGCCCATCCACAATAAAACATACCATATAATTCTAGGAGGTTTACCACGCTTCTTTAGCCGATCTTCAACACCAACCTCAATATTCTTGATAAAGTTTGTTCCATCGTAACTGAAGAGAGAGAACAAATGCATAGCTTTCTATAACGTCAACTAGCAAAATATCGTCAGATCAAAATGGGATAAACTAAGTTTCCTTACCCTTTAAGGCTTTATCTTTCATCGTTGCCATTAGTTTTTCTTTGTGGTCCACATCGCCATCATTTGCATTTTTGTCGCTTTTGAGATTCTGCGCTTTTTTGTGGCGCGTTGGTTTGTCTTATTTTAAGCCTCAGCTTTTTCTTTTCGTTTAGGCATGAGCCATAACTTGATTATATATTGTGGTCTTGCCGCAAACGTTATCTGTCATCGGATTAACTTTATAATGACAGTACGTCACAGCAGACGGAGTACCTGATTACACTGAAAGAAAACCCGCGAAATTTTCAAAGCGCTTTTTGAGGCACTTGAGTTTTGAGTCGAATATACGCACTAAATAAAGTTTGTTAAGCGTGCGTTTTAACCGATTTTTGTCAAAATTCTACACAGCATAGATACATATTTCGGGTACAAAACGGTGTGCGCGCGAGCTTTTTATTCAAATAATAAGCAAGTTACAAGCTTTTTGTTGTCAATTAGTTGCAATATAGCATAGGTCTGGAATGAATATGCCGTAACTCATGAACCCCTAAAGCAACTACAAAACGCGAACACCGTTTTTTAGAACAACCTTTGAGAAGAGTAAAAATGATATTTTTATAGGATTTGAGTAAAACCGGCGTCTAACAAACTTCACGGCGCGGAAGTATCGCGATTTTAGACTTCGGCAAATATCTAAATAAGTATTTATTCTTTCGTATGTGTGATAAGAACATCTTATACTACATTTATCTAACTACATTTGGTGAAAATTTGATGGAATTTGGATTAAAATTGATCGAGTTACAGCGGATCTCCCGAAAGGCATGTCTAGGGTATCCTGTAACCTTAAGTGATGAAGAATGGTGTTTAATATAGAATCATGCCTCCACGTATATCGATGTTGTTGTAACGCTACAGGGCAATATGAAAGAACATGAAGCTGTGTTTGAATTTTGTTGCAAAGGTCACAATTTGGGGAATCTCGAATGTTCCACCGCTTGAGGTTAGAATTGTTGCTCAAGTTAAGCACTAGAGCCCGTCTTGCAAAACATGTTATATTACGGGGTAGTCTGCTAACCATTTCTTGCCAAAATTGCAGTATTTTCTTGTTGCACGCTTCAGTTAGATAGTTTATAATAATACTTTGTTCCTTTAGCGTAATAAAATTTGCCCAAATATTATTTGTACTTTGCTGTTTCAATAACTTATTTGTTCCGGTTTTCAGTTCGTATCCATTTGTTACATTTGATGATACTTTCTCGATTATTTCATAATAATAATAATAATAATAATAATAATAATATTAATATTAATAATAATAATAATAATAATAATAATAATAAAGTAATAATAATAATAATGATAATGATAATGATAATAATAATGATAATAATAATAATAATAATAATAATAATAATAATAATAATAATAATAATAATAATAATAATAATAATAATAATAATAATAATAATAATGGAAACTTTATTAAAATTATATACGTATATATACAATTATAAATCTCACTAATTTAGGTAATTTATAATTGACTACTTGAACCTACTTAATATTTATATATTAATAATGAGTATCCTTAAATGTTCAGTAATTCCGGATTTAACCAGTCCTTATCTCTGCAACAAAATATATAATATGTTGTCCTAATCGCGATAGACATAATTTTCCTGATAGCGAAATATTGGTGTCTTTTATCAAGACCTAGATCAGTTAACATATCTAAAAAGGAATGACATTCTTTTGAGAAAACGCCTAAAGAACTAATTGACAAATTTACAAATTTTACGGACTTAAATTGTTTCTTTTGCTGTGTAATGAGATCTTCGTATCTTCTTCTTTTCCGATCAACATTTGTTTGTAGATTAGACTCATAGCCAACAGAAAGTTCAAGGATATAGAGACAATCCGAGTTGATAGATAGAAGTAGGTCTGGGCGGAATGTGTCACCAGTTACAATTAATGGGCTTTTATAACCAGGAAGATCGACGAAAAGATTGGAGTTGTTTACAGGTTGTAGCGTTTGTGCTATGAAGTTCAGAACAGAATCATATGAATCATTATTATTATTATTAATCATTATTATTATTATTATTATTATTATTATAATAATAATAATAATAATAATAATAATAATGATAATAATAATAATAATAATAATAATAATAATAATAATAATAATAATAATAATAATAATAATAATAATAATAATAATAATAATGATAATAATAATAATAAAAATAATAATAATAATAATAATAATAATAATAATAATAATAATAATAATAATAATAATAATAGTGAACTGTGCTACAAAACTTTCAATCTTGAAATGTTGGTACAACTATTTAAGTAAACGAAGTAATGCTGAAATTTATTTACCACCCATTATTTCGACACTCCAAACTAGTGTGTTTATCGGGGGTGATTTAAAATACAAAAACTAGTGTATCTGCATATCCCTGATGGTGATACTTGACTGTACTGGTTTATGGAAACGTTACGCTTATTAATGTAATTTTTTTAGGAATTACAATTCTTTGTTATACTGGTTGATATGAATGCATATATTTACAGTAAATTCGAAGCCTGAATACCCGATATATTTTCAGTAGACCAAATGTACTTGTGATCTTGATTGTTAAATGTCTTTATGTTTAGAGATTGACAAATTATCCTGTAACTTTGAAGTTCTTAACAGTTGCCAATGGACTCAAGATTCCAGTGATGATTTTAATTGGACCAGACATCAACGTCGTACACCCTCAAGGAACACCGGTCCAAGTACAGATCATACCAAGAGAGCGGGTGAGTGTTATATTCTGTTGGCAGAAGTACCACCACCATCACTTTCATCACCATCATCACCACTACGATCATCATTATCAGCACTGTATATGTTGTTTTCAATAGATTGATGATTAATATTATAGGGTTACAGTGGAACGCACGCGCAGGTATAGTTTTGGAATTATTTCTTCGTCGGGTATCATCATGTAAACAGCGACAACTTCCTCACAATAGGTACTCGATGTTTTATGGATGGAATTATATTTATTTATATATGTAAAATTTAATTATAGAGTAAAATTTTATACATTTATTAAACCTAACCAGGAGCAGCTGCAAAACATGCAACTACATGCCTTCGGACAGCTCCAGAGTCCAGCAGTTGCACAAAATGCTGATATTTACCCATAAATCTTACCATGGTATCACCTTACTATATATACATGAACTTGCGGTTAGAGCCCGACAACTGGACTTTGTAGCTCAGCTGGTTAGAGCTCTTCAAGGTAGCAGTATTCGTACTGTCGGCATTTTAGTGTTGATCATTTCTACTACAATCGAGTGATATGTAATCGACATTTAAAATACTCATTAATAATTCATAAACCTTGTGACAAATCATGTCAGCCATAATATGTCACGTGGAGTGACTTTATATTTGATAAAACTCATCTTCATTAGCATTCTTTATATAATTGTTCATCCTAATTAGTATTCTTTTGTAGTCGTATTTTAAGCTGTTGAAAACACTCTTTGTCGTGTTTTATCAGACATAAAACGCTCGGCTGGGCCTGGTAATTCCTTTTCAAATCTTTTATACAAAGTAAAAATACATCAAAACAGTAAAGTTCGCGCAACAATCCATTATCAATCTTCATTCATTATATCGTTACACTATATCAGTCTAATAAATTTGATTATTCTCCTAATACATTTTTCAACTTTAGTAAATTTCATGTCCGCATGTGTACGTGTCCGTATGTCTGCGTGTCCGCGTTTTCCACTGCTCTCTCCAACTTTTCAGCCTTAACCAACATCACGTTTCTCATTTCAGCATCTGGTCGGTATTTATACATCGAGACCTCAAGACCAAGGCAACCGAACGACACAGCTCGATTGATCTCGCCATCGACAACAGAAGTCAAATCCTGTCTCCTCTTTTGTTATCACATGTATGGCCGTGATGTGGGAGAACTTCGGGTATTTATTTTTATTTCTGTATTTATTACTTATTTATTTCTATTTATTTATAAACTTTCCGAAACAGTCCACATGCAAGTGTCATGGCATCAGGTAATCAGGGTCAACACTTATGCAACATACATAAACGGAAATTTTACACTTTACCGTACCCGAGTAATCACTGACTACATACGCTATCAAAACAAGCCATAAAAGGACGGAAGAATTCACTATCAGAATACAAGAACGGAAGAACTCACCATCAGAATACAAGAACGGAAGAACTCACCATCAGAATACAAGAACAGAAGAACTCACCATCAGAATACAAGAACGGAAGAACTCACCATCAGAATACAAGAACGGAAGAACTCGCCATCAAAATACAAGAACGTACGACAGAACTCGCTATCAGAATACAAGAACGGAAGAACTCACCATCAGAATACAAGAACGGAAGAACTCACCATCAGAATACAAGAACGGAAGAACTCACCATCAGAATACAAGAACAGAAAAACTCACCATCAGAAAACAAGAACGGAAGAACTCACCATCAGAATACAAGAACGGAAGAATTCACTATCAGAATACAAGAACGGAAGAACTCATCATCAGAATACAAGAACGGAAGAACTCACCATCAGAATACAAGAATGGAAGAACTCACCATCAGAACACAAGAACAGAAGAACTCAACATCAGAATACAAGAACGGAAGAACTCACCATCAGAATACAAGAACGGCAGAACTCGCTATCAGAATACAAGAACGGAAGAACTCACCATCAGAATACAAGAACGGAAGAACTCACCATCAGAATACAAGAACAGAAGAACTCACCATCAGAATATAAGAACGGAAGAACTCACCATCAGAATACAAGAACAGAAGAACTCACCATCAGAATACAAGAACGGAAGAACTCACTATCACAATACAAGAACGGAAGAACTCACGACCAGAATACAAGAACGGAAGAACTCACCATCAGAATACAAGAACAGAAGAACTCACCATCAGAATACAAGAACGGAAGAACTCACTATCAGAATACAAGAACGGAAGAACTCACCATCAGAATACAAGAACGGAAGAACTCACTATCAGAATACAAGAACGGAAGAACTCACCATCAGAATACAAGAACGGAAGAACCCACCATCAGAATACAAGAGCGGAAGAACTTACCATCAGAATACAAGAACGGAAGAACTTACTGTCAGAATACAAGAACGGAAGAACTCACCATCAGAATACAAGAACAGAAGAACTCACCGTCAGAATACAAGAACGGAAGAACTCACCATCAGAATACAAGAACGGGAGACCTCACCATCAGAATACAAGAACGGAAGAACTCACTATCAGAATACAAGAACGGAAGAACTCACCATCAGAATACAAGAACGGAAGAACTCACCATCAGAATACAAGAACGGAAGAACTCACTATCAGAATACAAGAACGGAAGAACTCACCATCAGAATACAAGAACGGAAGAGCTCACTATCAGAGTACAAGAACGGAAGAACTCACTATTAGAATACAAGAACGGAAGAACTCACTATCACAATACAAGAACAGAAGAACTCACCATCAGAATACAAGAACGGAAGAACTCACCATCAGAATACAAGAACGGAAGAACTCACTATCAGCATACAAGAACGGAAGAACTCACCATCAGAATACAAGAACGGGAGAACTCACCATCAGAATACAAGAACGGAAGAACTCACTATCAGAATACAAGAACGGAAGAACTCACCATCAGAATACAAGAACGGAAGAACTCACCATCAGAATACAAGAACAGAAGAACTCACCATCAGAATACAAGAACGGAAGAACTCACCATCAGAATACAAGAACGGAAGAACTCACCATCAGAATACAAGAACGGGAGAACTCACCATCAGAATACAAGAACGGGAGAACTCACCATCAGAATACAAGAACGGAAGAACTCACCATCAGAATACAAGAACGGAAGAACTCACCATCAGAATACAAGAACGGAAGAGCTCACTATCAGAGTACAAGAACGGAAGAACTCACTATTAGAATACAAGAACGGAAGAACTCACTATCACAATACAAGAACGGAAGAACTCACCACCAGAATACAAGAACGGAAGAACTCACCATCAGAATACAAGAACAGAAGAACTCACCATCAGAATACAAGAACGGAAGAACTCACTATCAGAATACAAGAACGGAAGAACTCACCATCAGAATACAAGAACGGAAAAACTCACCATCAGAATAAAAGAACGGAAGAACTCGCCATCAGAATACAAGAACGGAAGAACTCACCATCAGAATACAAGAACGGAAGAACTCACTATCAGAGTACAAGAACGGAAGAACTCACCATCAGAATACAAGAACGGAAGAACTCACTATCACAATACAAGAGCGGAAGAACTCACTACCAGAATACAAGAACGGAAGAACTCACCATCAGAATACAAGAACGGAAGAACTCACCATCAAAATACAAGAACGGAAGAACTCACCATCAGAATACAAGAACGGAAGAACTCACCATCAAAATACAAGAACGGAAGAACTCGCCATCAAAATACAAGAACGGAAGAACTCACTATCACAATACAAGAACGGAAGAACTCACCATCAGAATACAAGAACGGAAGAATTCACTATCAGAATACACGCCATCTATCGAATACATGCGGTCCTCGGTACAGTAAACTGTAGGGTACTCTACATATACATAGTATCATACATAAAAATCCCTTGTCGGAGTGAAACCAACCAACCTATATTATACTACACTATATTTTCTCGATCTTTGTGGTATCGAGTACTTTTCAACCTATCGCAGAGGCTGAAATAACATCCAAAACTTGGCCGGCATCCATTTGGTAAATTATATACGTCAGTATATAAATATTACTTTATGCGAAACGCTGTACATGCAGTATAGTTTAAATAATACCAATTCCAACAGATTGCTCTTTTTGTTCGGAAAAATGTCTGGCCAATCTGGTATTCGATTGGAAAAACTGGTTGGAAAACGTCCGACACTATTTCAGGTTCTCCTATCGTGAACTGAAACACATTCATACACTGATAAACAAATAAATAAATATATATATATATATATATATATATATATATATATATATATATATATATATATATATATATATATATATATATATATATATATATATATATATATATATATATATATATATATATATATATATATATATATATATATATATATATATATATAATTTTAGGTCTACGTGCAATCTGGGGGTAAGATGGATTCTCTGTGGACTCTTTCTGGAAATCAAGGTGACAAATGGCATCAAGCAGAAGTCGCTGTGAACAATCAAAAGGCGTCATATCAGGTAAGCATGAAGATCAGAGAACACCAAATATAACTGAATCTAAAGATAGCACATATAGGTGGCCCAGGTGGGTATAGAATTGAAAATACCTGCTTGTTCATTTGCTAAATATATCTGAAGATCATCTACCATGTAGGTAATGGAAACGACCACACTTTTCTACTTTTCTTGCAGTATGTAATCGAAGGTGTACGTGGTAAAAATTACAGGGGAGACATTGCAATTGATGATATCTTTCTTATGCATTCATGTAGAGGTAAGTTACTTGTGTACTAATATATAGCTACGTAGGCCGAAGTACCAAGGTTCAGACTTTGACGAAATACATTAGTAAAGCTGCATGAGGTACTTCCTGCCACGTATAGGTTGTAACGAATTTTTACGATTTTAGAAAATACTAACTTCGGCAGATAACATGCTGAAGGGATTTATACCAGGAGCAGTTGCAAAAAATGCAACTGTAGGTCCTCTGGCAGGAATCGAACCTGCGGCCATGCGATTCCGGTGCAGCACTGTAAACAACTGAGCTACAGATCGAGTCACTGACTCAATCTTTCCTTGTCTACTATGTATGGTTATTTCATTCGCCCAAGGTAAGTTTACTTCAGTTAAACCGGTTACTGTAGGTCGAGTATTTAATAATGTAAGTAGAGTTTGGTTGGTTCTTTTATGAGCTTTTCCCCCAGGTACTTGGGTTTTCTCCTTCAACAAAAACTAACCCTTGGTTCTTAGTTGTCAAAACAAGTGTATCATGAGCCTCAGATTCCGGTGAATTGGGCAACGATACCATGTCCTGTGCATATGATGACGATATCGATGGTTATGATAATCATGCTGATGCATAACTACTAAAAAAGAAATTCAGGTCAACCACCACAAATCAAAGTGTGTATCCAACGAAAAATGTTACAATGGCATATAGAAATGCATGTTTCAAATGGATAGACCGATATATACTACTAGATTGACATGCTCAGCTTCTATGCTTATCTCTCGCAAAACTAAAGTCAATATTTTCTTCTCCGTCCATCACGAGCTTGCTTTAATGGCACAGGACTGCTAATTTTCGAATGCCACCAGAAATAATTGTTGTGGCTCTCATTTTGTTGCAGCGCCATGCAAACGAAAAACAGACCTCATCTTTGTACTCGACAGATCAGGAAGTATAGCGCCCGGAGATTACGACAAAGTGCGTGAATTTGTCAAGGAAATAGCAAAAGAATTGAAAGTTGGTGAAAGAAATGAAGCAGGCGTGCTTATCGGACAGGCTGCCATAGTTACCTTTACTGAACTAGGCGAGAAAAGAATAACATTAGCAGAAAGCCGGGACGCAAGCAAATTCTACGATGTAGTTGATAGGATGCCTGGTCCATTGCGAAGAGGTCTAACAAGAACACATCGTGGTTTAGCAATTGCTGATAAAGAGATCGCTATTAAAGAAGCCGGATATCGTGAAGATGATCCTGATGTTAAGAAAATGATCATGGTTATTACAGATGGAAAACAGACTAGAGAATCAGTTCGAAGGGGTTATGTCTATGTTGGACAAGCTATGAAACCTTTCTTTAATAGAAATATGGATGTTTTTGCTATTGGCGTTGGCTTGGACAATTATGCTGCAATTAACGAAGTTAAAGATATGGTAGAATTTCCTGAAAACGCAATCCTTGCAGCTAACTATAGCGACCTACTTCACAGAGTTGGAAGTATCATAAAGAAATTATGCCCAGGTAACCATTGACAAAACAATAATTATTACCACTTTGTAACGTTTTCAATAATACAATAAAAAGTAAAATGTTTTTTTTTCATACATAGTAAACGCAATTTGATTATTGCAAGTCGATCGTAGCCTTCATAATGTCTCCACTTATATTTGTTTTAGTGACTGACATATGTGGGACACCTGACGACGACTGCAGTGTATTTGCTACATGTGCTGACACAGGACCAGGAACCTATAACTGCACCTGTAACAAAGGATATACTGGAAATGGGAAAATATGCAAAGGTCTGTACAATTATCTAACAGAAGTTTCTGTTAGAAAGAGATGTAATGTTCGAGTTGCTTTCATAACATTAGTATTTAAATGGATTGAACCACATAAAATCAAACTAATATATTTCTGAGAATGAGGATCAAAAACCGAACCATAACCATGCTCAAGGGAGTCAAGGCGGCTAATATATGTACAGACCGCAGCATCCAAATTATATTGTTCCAGGTATTACAACGTTTGTACATTCAATTGACTACTTGTTAATTTTTTGCTCTAGGTGTAACCGTCAATTTTACAAAGAAAGCTTACAGCGGCAAAGAGGGTGAACCGGCTTTACTCGAAATTATTGTTAGTGCAGGGAATATAAGTGAACCGATAATTATAAGGTAATGAAATTCTACAAAGATACAACATTCTTCCAAATTATACCGTTTCCGTAAGATACAGTTATTGATTGGTTTAACAGATAATCCAGCCTGCTATTTCACCAGTTTCGAACGTATTTTCCGAGCCCTTCATGACACGACGAGAAAAAAATACGAGTAACAGTGCTTCGCTGAGGGGACAGACTTAATATAATTAGTTAATATTAACAGGTTGAACAACTTACATTTAAAGTAAACAATCTAGTTTGATTGACATTTGTCTACATTAATATTCCGAACAGAGCAGAACTGAACAAAGGTTTACCCGCTAACCAGGCAGTATTTATAAGTTGAAACAAGCTAACCAGTATTACTAACCAGATAAAGTAAGTATTTACGCCAGGATGTAAACGTGGGAAGCCTCACAGAAGTAAGTTTATCTTATTTATGTATTAATGTAATCAGGGGCGGCGCTAACCGTCTTCGAGTGGGGGGGGTGAGTGATCTTTTGCCGACTGTTGCTTGGTTATTTTGTCGAGTCATTAGCCTATCGTGAGGGTTCTGAAGGGGGGGGGGGTTACCAATCGCATTTTCCACCTGAAATTTTGGCAAAATTCCAGTCCAAGTTGGATTTTTATTAGAAATCCCAGTCCGTGTCAGTTGAAATCCCAGTCAATAAAAAACCTTTTATTTATCGGTACAATAGACAGTTTTCAGACCTTTTAAGCCACCGTTAGTGAAAGTGGCGGCCACTTTATGAAATTTTTTTTTTTGGAGGGGGGACGGTGCCAAAGACACGGAAAATTTTTAAATTTGAATGCGGAAATGGCATTTGCATCATTCTGAAACACGCATAATCAGAAAACCCAGAATTCCGGGCGCTCGAGTATGCTTGTTCGCAGGTAGTGCTGTGAATAATATAGTTAACAACATGACTAAAGACACCAAAAACGGATCAAAATTGTGAATCGGCTCACATTACTTCAGGAAGGAAATTCTACAAAGATACAACATTCTTCCAAATTATACCGTTTCCGTAAGATACACTTATTGATTGGTTTAACAGATAATCCAGCCTGCTATTTCAGCAGTTTCGAACGTATTTTCCGGGCCCTTCATGACATGACGAGAAAAAAATGCGAGAAACAGGTATAAAATACAAGACATAATTGTACGTAAAACGGTTTGAATCGGATTTTTATATACATCAATATTTTGACAAATGGAAAAAGTTTTTCGGAACCCGCATTAATTAAGTAAAAAATAAAAGCGGATGAGGGGTTACAGCTCCCCTCCCACCCTGAATGTGAATATATCCCATGAATATGCGAATATGTCTGTCATCGTTTCTAAACTGCATTCTCTACATTTTGGCTGCATATACGGACTTTTTCTTTTGTTTGTAACTTACTCATAATTTTATTTAGGGACTGTACCTTCCAAGGATCTCGGAAAGTGACCATTGTTAGGAAAACAAATTGCCATAAAATGTACGTGTCAAAATACAAGTTTACTTTCTTTAACAGTGTTACTTCAAGTGCAAAGACAGCTGGAGATGATGATTTTGTTCCTCAAACCGTGGATGTCATTCTTGAACAGGGCGAGACTGGTCCAAAGTCGATCCGCATTAACATCATAGATGATGATTTTGTTGAATCCAAAGAAGAATTTACAGTCACCTTGTCGTCTTCCTCACCTGGGGTAACAGTTGGTGAACCTGCAACTGTGATCATTAAAGATAATGATAAGTCAGGTAGGCTTTACGCAATATGAAATAATCGGGAAACATAGCCTCTATGCTTATCTCTCGCAAAACTAAAGTCGATATTTTTCTTCTCCGTCCATCACGAGCTTGCTTTAATGGCACAGGACTGCTAATTTTCGAATGCCACACGAAATAATTGTTGTTGCTCTCATTTTGTTGCAGCGCCATGCAAACGAAAAACAGACCTCATCTTTGTACTCGACAGATCAGGAAGTATAGCGCCCAGAGATTACGACAAAATGCGTGAATTTGTCAAGGAAATTGCAAAAGAATTGAAAGTTGGTGAAAGAAATGAAGCAGGCGTGCCTATCGGACAGGCTGCCATAGTTACCTTTAGTGAAGGAGGCCAGAAAAGAGTAACATTAGCAGAAAGCCGGGACGCAAACAAATTCTACGATGTAGTTGATAGGATGCCTGGTCCATTGCAAAGAGGTCGAACACAAACACGTCGTGGTTTAGCAATTGCTGATAAAGAGATCGCTATTAAAGAAGCCGGATATCGTGAAGATGATCCTGATGTTAAGAAAATGATCATGGTTATTACAGATGGAAAACAGACTAGAGAATCAGTTCGAAGGGGTTATGTCTATGTTGGAGAAGCAATGAAACCTTTCTTTAATAGAAATATGGATGTTTTTGCTATTGGCGTTGGCTTGGACAATTATGCTGCAATTAACGAAGTTAAAGATATGGTAGAATTTCCTGAAAACGCAATCCTTGCAGCTAACTATAGCGACCTACTTCACAGAGTTGGAAGTATCATAAGGAAATTCTGCCCTGGTAACCATTGACAAAACAATAATAATTCCATTTTGTAACGTTTTCAATAATACAATAAAAAGTAAAATGTTTTTCTCATACAAGGTATGTGAAAATGGTATATTGTCCCAACAACTTCTGAAAGTGATTCTATACGCTTCAGGTTTTTCTGTAATAAAATTTCCCTCTGAATCCATTTAACCACAAACTGAGACTTTTTAATTTATTAACCACCTCCTCCGCATGACTTGCCTTAGTTCCAATTATGCCGCCTGGGCCGTATAGCCGAAGTGTACGCCTGGCAAGGCGTCTGTTCAAAATAAAACAACATATATAGTCAACATCAGCAAAGAATCAACCTGCACTAATCCAAGTCAAGGGGGGTAATACTTTATTATTACCAAACTATTCATTTCAAAACTTAAAACAATTTTATGTTTCTGGTTCGGTCATTTATTGCAATTTTGTTTATTACTGGTTTAGCAGCTGGCAAACGATCTATGGAGGGGAAATTACAACGATATAATATCGTATTTTATGGTATAGTGACTGTGTTTAGGGCACATATGTGATATGTATATTGACTATATAAATTATATACATGCATGTTTGTTTATAGGTTTAAACTTTCATTAAGTCGTATAAAATACATATTTCGTTTTTGCATCATTGCCAGATGAAGAAGATTCAGAGAATTCTTAAACTTTGGCAGACAAATGCCAAAGTTTAAGAATTTTGTCGTTAAATTACCTGGGGTCGGTTGTATAAAAAATATTTAGAGTTAACTATGGTTAAGTGGAAACGTCATCCAATAAGATGCGCCTATATGAGAGTTAATCACTATTTAACTACAAAATAGTGATTAAAAAAGTGATTAAGAGTTTTATACAGCCGGCCCCTGGACATTAAAAGTGCAGACCTGTCGCATGTTGCACGGACTTGTGACATGATATTATAATTTGCATATCCGTGCAAGTCCGTCCGTATATTGTCCAGCGTTTCATATTATATGCGTAATAACCTACATACCTTTTAATTAATTTTTTTCTAGGTTTTTACTAAAATAAGCATTTTCCAATTTTGAATTTACCCTGTAATATCTTTGATAGCTTGCCATTATTTCGAGCGGACACTGGCGGAAATAAAGTAGCGCAGGTTCCGTTTATAGTCATGGATTAGCGGAATGGCACCTCAGTGAATTGCATTTTGATCCTGCTGTTTTAAAATATTGAACAATTGAGATTACAGTCACATAATTCGAGAATATATATTATGTTAAGTTCCCCCAATCATAATTCAAATAAAATAAGTGGGGTTAACGAATACATGTTGCAAAATTGAGAATTAAAGTAACTGCAACTGAGATTAAAGTCACATAATTCGAGAATATATATTATGTCAAGTTCCCCCAATCATAATTCAAATAAAATAAGTGGGGATAACAAATACATGTTGCAAAATTGTTAATTAACGAACACATTGACATTAAAAATAAATAAGTCGTAAGGTAAAGAAAAAAAATTATGGTGAGCTTTTTTGTCGTTTTACCAACCCTACAATTAAGCACTTGTAAGATAGAAGCTTTATGGGAAGCTGCTGGTTGTCTTGGCCCCATTTAGGTCTCCGGTAAAGATATTGCAGGTTTTTCCTGGCCTCCCTGATATTCCAGCTGTAGTATGAGTGATAGTAATTCTTAAATATATGTCTTACGATTATCTGGCAGAAGCTTCTTCTATACGATTACAGTTGTGGTGGGAGTTGGATCTTTTCGTCTATGGGGAATACACATTCTGTGTATTTGTGGGGATGGAGTGCTCCCAAAAGTCACCCTCAACCCTATCGACTCACACAAATCAATGTATTATACAGTGTATTGTAAAGTAAACAATGACCATCACGGGGATCTTCTACCCCTTGGACATTGAAGTGAACAATGATCATCACGGGGATCCTTGGTACCCCTTGCACATTTAGGATACCCATCTCGGGGATCTACTACCCCTAGGGCAAAGTCCAACATGGGGGAACCACGACCCCCTGAGGACTTATAATTATATGATAATCATATTGCTGTAATAGTCAGTCTGTGCGGCGACACTATGGCCACTGTTTAAAGTATAATAGGAGCATTTCTCCACGACAGGTGTCAAGAATTATTCCTCGTACATACAGGTATCAGAATTATTCCTCGCAGGTATCAAGCCTTGTGACGTCATTATGCATAACGTCCATTGCTTGTTTTACAATTGACGCGATATCGGTTGATTTTCTAAATACACATGGCAACTATAAAATGCATATTCTTGATTTTTTGTCGTATTGAGCCAAATATCATAAACTCTCCATAATACAGTAACATGTTTTCAAAAACAAACCAGAAAATATTAAATTAACTCAACTACTTCGCTGTAAACGGCTTAACGAAAGTTTAAATTCGACCAAGATGGCACCTATAAATGACTCGTAGTGATCTCATGTGCAAGCAAAGAATATACTGTATATAAACTTAAGAGGCATTGTCTGCAAGAACGGTCCAGCGAATTCTGACTCAATTTTCGTTTGATTTCATAATATATCAATAACATCCTTGATGTATCCTGATTCTTGTTTAAACAGTCATTTCTTTAAAATTGTCTTATTTTTTTGTTTATCCTCAAATATACAGACATGTTCAGGAACCCAAAATGGCGCTCGTGATTAGGATGGATATTTGCAATTTTTCTAACTTTGCACCGAAGTCGTGCGAGGGTCTACAGAACATGTATCCGTGTTTTTATATTGAATAATGTATGTTCTTTTCACGATTCAAAGTAATAATAAGCCAAATATCTATTTGGAACGGGCGATTTTAGTGGCAGTAATATTTTCCCCATTGGAGTCGGTCGTTGATGATCGAAAACCTGATGGATTCCACAAGTCGTAGTAAAATAGTGGATTGCTTATGAAATTTAAATCCTATTAAAATATGTAGATGAATAACTAAGTTATTCATATCAAATGAGAAAAGTTTTGGTCAAACCCATTTCCAGCAACAAAGGAAGGAGTCTTTATGAGGCAAATTCTCCCCTATGCATGGGCGGGCTAACATTTATGAGATAGTGTCCTAGTCACTATTTCTTGTTAATGCTCGTCTTAGGTTTATTGGAGAACAATGCTACTCCATTTAGTTAAAATTTCACTTTGAGGAGATGGATATTTTCCCATACAAACGCGATTAGGCGACAATATATCTCCGCTTAACAGCTCTAAAATAAATAAATACACGCAACAAATCAATGTTTGTGTTTAAAGAAGGCGTTTTATAACTTTTTTTCTATTATTTATTAAATAAAAAGTATTTTAGACCAATTCCGTCCCCATTATCGGAAAATAGTTTGTATTTGAAATATATTTGTAGTTTTGGCTTCTCTATATAATATGCATTTCGCTGATAATTAAAAGTTGTCGATTCTTTTGTCGATTTCAATGTTTCTTTTAATATCCGGTTTCTATAACTGATTCAATGTAAATAACACGGCGCTTTCGTTTTTACCATGTTTGGCAATTTTTTTTAAGTAAGAAGGATCCAAAACAATGTAGAGACTGTCGAGGACTAAATGAGATGATAATGTGCGGAGACACCTCGAAAGCTTGCACATTTCAGGAGAAATCGTTTCTGAAGTAGAACTGATTTCGTTTTATATATCACCCAACCCAACAGGGGCCGGTTGTATAAAACTCTTAATCACTTTTTTATCACTATTTTGTAGTTAAATAGTGATTAACTCTCAGATAGGCGCTTCTTATTGGATGACGTTTCCACTTAACCATAATTAACTTTAATCACTTTTTTATACAACCAGCCCCAGGACTCGAAAATCCGTAAAAGGAAGAGATGTTATTACTTATTAGCTTGCAAATGTACAAAGATGGGCAAAAACAGTATGTGGGATATTTGTACCTCTCGTACGGATGCGGTTATCCGGTGTCCCAGGAATTTCGGCCCCCAGAATATCGCCCTCCCGGTGGGCGAAATTCCTAGGAAATTCGCCCCCCCTTTAGAAACATCACCTTTCCTTTTGGATTTTCGTCCTACATGAAAAATGTTGCCCTTCCAAACAGTTGCAAGGGATAATTATTACAATGGTTTGGTCATTTGAAATTAGCCTCAATTCAAAATTGTTAAGACAGATCGAGCTTGAAATATTAACAACCGATCACCGAGGGAATCACCTGATCTATCACCATTGTTGATCGACGGTCATACGCTTGAGGTTGTGCGGTCTCATAAAGTGCTAGGTCTGGTGATCCAAAACGATCTTAAATGGAATGCACACATAGAATCAGTGTATCCAAGGCTTCTGAATGTTTATACATCATCCGCATATTACGACGAGGTGTTGTCCCTGCGGAAGACTTATTGAGTATATATTTTGCCCTAATACAATCGGTTCTGGAGTACTGCTGTGTGGTATGGCATCATGCCCTACCTTTGTACCTCGCCGATGAGTTAGAGCGAGTGCAAAAACGAGCGCTGAGGATCATTTTACCGGGTTACTCTTATAGGGAAGCATTAGCACAACTTGCATGGGTGTTCCAGATTGGATGAAAGGCGAGAACATCATTGCCTCAATACTATGAAACGCATAGCTGTCTAGGGCTAGTTCAAATGATTATGAACTTAGAAACTCTAACACATTAACAACAATAAAATGCCGAACAGAAAGATATCGCCGTAGCTTTTTTCCCATTACAGTAGCTTTATATAATAGTTATAGTAAAGAAACTTAAGCGTGATACTTAATTACGTACGGTGATTTTAATAAGATTTTTAGACTTGATGCATGCAACTTAATTTTTTAGATATGTAAATATGTATAGCGTACTAATTTTGTAAATGCACCATAACTCAATCTATTGCGAAGGCCCAGGTGTGTACCTTAAACCATTATTATTAATAATAAGAATAATAATAATAATAATAATGGAAACTTTATTGAAATTATATACGTATATATACAATTAGAAATCTCACTAATTTAGGTAATTTATAATTGACTACTTGAACCTACTTAATATTTATATATTAATAATGAGTATCCTTAAATGTTCAGTAATTCCGGATTTAACCAGTCCTTATCTCTGCAACAAAATATATAATATGTTGTCCTAATCGCGATAGACATAATTTTCCTGATAGCGAAGTATTGGTGTCTTTTATCAAGACCTAGATCAGTTAACATATCTAAAAAGGAATGACATTCTTTTGAGAAAACGCCTAAAGAACTAATTGACAAA